TAAATAAATATATTAATAAATTAAATAAGCCCTTTATTATTATATATTTAAAATAATATAAAATATAAATTAGTTTTAATTATAATAAATAAGCTTATAAAAATAAAATACTTTATTTTAATAATAAATATAATAATAAATATATTAATAAAGGTCTTTATAATATAAATATATTATTTATATAATATATTAAAAACAATTATATTAAATAAGAGCTTATAATTTATATCCTACTTTTAAAAGGAATTAAACTATTATTTAAATATATAGCTTTATACTTTAATAATATATTATTTAAAAACTAATAGGTAAATAAAAATTATTAATATTATAATAAAATAATATTTAAAAGCTTATTATAGCTATTATTAAAATAATTAAATAAATTAATTACTTTTAATTAAATTTATAATAAATAATTAAATATTTAAAACTATAAAGCTAATCCCTTTTTTTATAAATTATAATTAATATTTTATTATAGGAATTAAATTAATAAAGGACCTAATTAAAATTAAAATAAAAGCTTAATAAAATAAATTTTTAACTATATTAAATATAGTTAATAAGATTTAAAGAATAATAAAAAAGGTTAAAATATTAATAATTATATTTTAGGAATATTATATTAAAAATGTAAATATATATTAATTAAATGCTTTAAACTATATAATAAAAGATAGGGTTTAAATTAATATAAAAAATATTAAAATAAGCTAACTTATATTAAAATTAGGAAATAAATAAATAGGCCCCTTTAAAGTAATAAAAATATATTAATAAACTATAACTATATAACTACTTTAATAATATAAAATATTCTTAATATTTTATATATTATTAATATATTTAATAAAAAAAGGCCTTTTAAAATAGTTAGCTTTAAATAAATTATATAATAATAGGATAAAGGGAATAATTTTATAAAATAATAATAGGATTAAAGAAATAAATAGTTATTTAAAAAGATTCTAAATAGTAAAAGAAAAAAAAATATAAGATTTAAATATAAAATTAAATAGTTAATCCCTTATTAATTAATTTAAAAATTAATAATAAATTTTAAAGGCTATAAGGATAAGTTAATAGTATTTTATTACTTTAACCTCTTTAAATTAAGATTACTATATTAATTAAAGATGCTTTAAATAAAATAATTATTAAAAACTATATATTTATTAAAGTAAAGGTATAAGTAATAAAATATAAGCTATATATAAAAAGGAATATAAGGAAAAACTATAGATTTATATAAAAAAAAGAAGAATTATTTTAAAAATTTATTATTATAATAAAGATAAATTAAAAAGCTATAAATAATAAGAATAAAGCAATTAAATATTAAAGTATTATTTGGATTAAAATTAAATTAAATTAAACTAAACTAAATAAAAAAAAAAAAACCAAAGTAAGATTAAATAGGTATAAAAGAATTAAAAAAAGGATAGTAAAGGTTAATAAGATTAAAACTTATATTATTAAATTAAATTTATACTTTTTTTAATTATAGCTATATTAATTTAAAACTAAATTGTTTAAAAAGTAAAGGGAAAGAAGTTAAAAATTTTAATAACTTTATTATTATTAAGCCCTATAATTATAAAGTTAAATAATAAAAAGTTTTAAATTAAAACGTTAATATTATTATAATAAAAAGATAATAAAAATAAAAAATAGGAAAATAAAGGTAAAGATTTATTAAAAAAAAATTATAAAAATTCTTTTTAATAAAATATTAAGCTATAATAATTATATTTTTAAATTAAAAATAAAATAATTAAAAGTTTTTTTAAATATAAACTTCTTTATTATTATTAAAGTAAAAATATAGCTATAAAGTAAAGGTAAATTAATAATAATAGTTAAGGTAAGTATTATAAGTAATATAATCCTTTTAAAAAATAAAAATAAAAATATTAATAAATATTAAGGAAATAATTATATAAGGGTAATATATATTATTTTTATTTTTTTAATATTTATAAATATATATGTTTTATAAACTTCTTTTTTTATATTTTTAAATATAAAGGTAAAATTAATAATTAAAGTAATAACTTTATAATATAGTATTAATAAATATATATATTAATATAATATAGTTAAATTAATAATAATAGTAATAATATTAATAATATATTAAAAATTAATATATTAAAATAAAAGTAAGTTTAAATTATAAATATTTTTAATTATTAAAGGCATTATTTATTTAAAAAAAATATAGTTAAGAATTAGGAATAATAAAAGAAATTATAAAATAGGAATAAAATATTAATAAAATATAATTAATATATTAATTTATATAAGTTATAGCGCTTATTATATTAGGTATAATGGGTTAAAAAAATACTACTTTTAAATATATATATAAAGTAAAATAGCATTACCTTTTAAACAATATTACCCTTTTTATAATATATACTAAAGTTAATTTAAAAGTAATAAAAGTAGAATTCCTTACCTATAAAGATAGGTATATATATTAGTATAATAGTAGTAATAATAAATAAAAAAAAACGAAAAGAAGTATAGGTAAAGCGTTTAAAAAAAAACCTTTTTTAAAAAATTAAAAATAAAGCTAAACGTTATAATTATAAAAAGGTAATAAAATAAGTATAAAAAAAGAAGGAGAAAAAATAAAGGAATATATAGAATAAATAATTAATTAATATAGTAGAAAATTCTACTATAAGGCTATAGGGCATTATTATACTGCCCTAAAAAGGAATGTAGCTTAAAATAAATAATATAGCATATATATTATATAACTATATTATAAATAAATTTAGATTTATATAATTAAGGTTAATTATATTTAAAAGAGGAAAGTATTATTATAGAATTAAGGAAGCCTAATTTTTAATATATAATATAGATTAAGGAATATTATATATAATATTAAAAAAGGGAATAAGGGGCAAAAATTAAAACTTCCCTCTTTATATAATAATAGAATAAATATACGAAACTATAGCTGGGCAGTATTGTGACAGAATCGGGGTATCTCGACGTTGGAGCTTGGGCATGCCATTCTGGTCCCGTATACGTTGAATTCTTTCCCGGAAAGGTTGGCGAGACTCACCTGTGTAAATTCCTCGAGAGTTAGACTCAGGATACACTTTGTTTGATAGTGTGGCGGGAAAATTCGGAGAGATTGGGGCCGAAGGCATCGTGGAGAGCGTCAATGAATAAATCTAGAGATCTACTAGGAATTCTGTATGATTTTATAGGATATAAGATCTGAAGTTTATTATAGAAACGTAGAGTGAATTGATTGTGGGATGGAATTTGATGAGATCTTCAGTTGTAGCGTTTATTTATATCCAGCATCGTGAACAATTATTTGCATTGTGTAACTTAACCTTTTAGCAATGGCTTTTATAAGGCGATTCTTTGTTTTTTGTTATGGCATTGTATCTACTCTTCCGGGTAGTGAGTCTTTGTTGTTAGATGCGCCTTTTTAAGATAGCTGTGTCGTATCCCTGGCCTTGATAAGACTGGGTATTATAAAGGGAAGACAAGAGAAAAAACGTGCCTATATAGTTATGGGGGTTTGATTTACTAATAATAAACTATACAATTGGTAAGGAAATATTGCTGCTCACGTTTATCGCCACCGAAAGGTTGCAACTTTTGTATACCTGTTGGTCTATGATGTAACAAAATTTGACCTCCGGGTTCTAACATGTATCAACCTATTATGAGCGTCATCAACTAGTACAATGAGGCTCTCCTAAATTTGTAAATACACATACTCAAGGCGCCGTTTCGCCCTCCAAAGAGCCAGAGACTCGCACCAATATTGTGCCTTTGGATACTATACCTAAGCGTATTATAGATGCCTCTCTGGAAGTGAAATACTTTGCATTCAGTTGGCCTTCATACTGTGCCACAACTACTATACCCCAGTTGTCTTCGAGCTTAGAAAAAATAGACAAAGGCTGAGTACTTCTGCGGAGTCCACCACCTAACAGGATAGGCGTAACGAAGTAAACAGTCGCATACCAGAGGAAACAAACGATCCTTTAAGTATTCCGTTGACGATAGTCACGGTCATGATTCAGCGTTGACGAGAGTAGTGTTAAAGAGACGACATGATGGATGGTGGCAAGCAACTTAAAAATCTCACTCCCGCAGCCGTCCCGGTAGCCACTGTGTCAAAGACAATGCAAACAGGCAAGTATCGTCCTCCAGCTTTGTAACAATTTCGAACGTCCATGTTCCCGGTCTAACGAACATACTCGGAAGCTGGCAGTCGGCGAGAATATCATATCGACCGTCGTGAGCCATATAGTCCACGTAAGGGCCCCCAGTCTTACGGATCGAGATGTAGCCATTCTCTCCGAACGCTGTAGTGCGAAATGGTACTGTGTACGTGACAAGCTTCTCGGGGTTGCCATTGTCCAGGGCAGCAGAAATTGTAATGCTCAGTGTTGCGTTGGCACCATCATTGGCTGCCTGTAAAGGAGCTGCGAATTTCGGCATCCGGCCGCGGAGCAGAACGAAAAAGAACTGATCGCTAGTATTGTGTCAGCTGCATATTCTCACTGCCACGAATGCAAACAAGAGTAATTGGTTACCACAAGGTAACAAATCAGACTTGAGAGCAAAGTTCTCTAGTATCTTACAGAGGGATGGGCGACGGAGCGATCTCGAGGCTCTCGATCTGGAAGAGTTGGTCTTCGAGGGGCACTGGGCCATATGTAACATTATTGTGGCCCGGAACCTCGGATTTCTGCTCTACCTTGGGTATTGTTTCAATTTGAGCAAAATGCTTTTGGTGTTGGGCGATGGAGCTGGGAGGGCGAGCAGCAGTGAGCTGTATCGGAACGGTGCACAATAATGTAAGTAGATGCGTAAAGACTATCATGGTCAATATCATTTTGTCAATGTGATTCGAAAAGTAATGAAGTAAGAGGTCAAAACAGGCGCATGTCGCAGATGATACATGACGCATATCAGTATCCCTATTGCTTCAGGAGGATTCTAGGCACCAGCCGTAAGCGCAGCGGGCCAATGGCTGACTGTCGGCATGCAATTCCTTCGGCTGACATTGATCTCGCTGTAGGTCGATGGTATTTGAAACAGGCTCATGCATACTATAAAGTTGACTCCATTTTCGGTTTCCACACCTCTGGTCTTAGATACTTCCATACCAACTCGGCGTCCGCCGGCCTGCTGTAAACTTCCCATCGAAGCTGGTGCTTCAACTATGCTTGGGTTGATCTCAGTTTCAGGGATTTGGGGAATTTATCTCAAGAATGTTTCTCGATCGATAGTTTCATGGCTCTGCTCGCCATAAAATAAGCTGCTCTCAAGGCAGACCATCCCATAGCATCATGCCAGGTCCATGGGTTATTGAGTAATCTGGATGTTCGACCGTACGTGCGTGTAAGCAATTATTCTCCGGTTTTCTAGGCTTCAATCTAATTCTACTTTAGAACGATGATGTCCTGTCTAAATTGGGAACTTCAGCTTAGGTTAACTAAATGTAATCGAAGAGACTCTACAATGGTTGTGCTGATTCTTGACACTGTTCCTTTATCACATGTGTTGAGAAAAGAACAGGTAAAAGCTAAGGGCATAGTAGGAAGCATTAAATTAATAGAAACAGGTTTTGGCTTGAAGTTGATTTGCTTGATAATTCGATTAATAGTAAACTAGTTTAATGGCGGATTAATTAGCAATTGATAAAGGAATCTTTAAAAGCGCATAGAGGTACTTAAAAATATAAATGCTTTCTCTTTATTCTTACTTCTATATTTTTTTAATATCTATTCAATCTTTAAATGATCTTTCTGATTAATAATTTGCCTGATCTGCTCTAAGGTTAATGTTCAGTCTAAGGAACAAACCTTTAGTAGCGATTTTAAATCGACTAGTTAGTTAATTCTTTCTCACAGGCGGGTACCAAACAAATGAATGACACTTCTCACAACGAGAATAGCCATATAGCCGACATGGGGATTGCATAAGGGCTACGTTATTGCAACATATACAACACTTCCATAGCTATCATACGGCCAAGACTCCAAAACCAAAGATAACCAATACTACCCCTAAAGGAAAAGTAAGGCTATAAGTAATTAGATAAGGACAATCTGTTAACTATAAAAAGACTAACAGTTAAAGCATAAATGCCCAATAAATAAAGGGGAGTTATAAATTATATAAGGCTTAAATAAATATAAATAGCTAAAAAATCTCCTGCTTTAAAATAAAAAAAAAGAAAGATCAAGGCCCTAAAGATCCCTAATAGATTATTAATAAATATAATTAAGTTCTAAGCCCTCTATAAAAGCCCTTATTATAAATAATCTATTATCCCCCTTTAAAATATTCCAATATAGCTTAAACCTTTACCTAATGGATAAACTTTAATAAATTCCCCGTATATATAATATTATTTCAAGCTTAAGTCCCTATAAACATAGGATTACTTTAATAAAATACTTACCCTACCTTTATTAAATAAAAGGTATCTTAAAAAAAATCTATACCTTATATTTAATAACCTAAATATTATACGTTATAATCCTAATATTCCTATTTAAAGAGCAAAAAGTAACTGATAACCTTATTGACCTAAGGCCTTAAACTTCTTTAAAATTACAGATGTACCCTAACTATAGGATTCTAACTTTAATTCCTACTATTTTAATAAGGATAGCTTAAACTTTAACTCTTTAGGATCCCCTTTATTATACGAAAACTGTTCTAAAAATAAACAATAGCTAAGCTACCTACCTTTATTACCTTTTTAAACCCTAAAGCCTGGGACTAAGGATATTCCGCCCTCTAATAACTTATAAACAAAATTAAAACATATAAAGGTATTAAGCAAGCATTCCGTTAACCCTAATTGGAATTTAGCCTTTACCCTTAAATAAGCTATATCCCTTCCATTATTTCCCACTATACTTAAACCTACCTATTTTAATTAAATTATATCCCCTTTTCCTAAAGGACTACCTTCTTTAAAAGACCTATTTAAATCTATTAATTAATTAACTTTATAATAAAACCCTCTTCCTATAGCCCTTAAACTAACATTTAAAGCTATAAAACTTACCTTTTATAACCTAACTATTTATAAAGATATTGGAAATATAAAAATAGAATATATAAATATAATAATCCTAAACCTCCTATAATAAGTTATAAATATTTATAACTATATAAGTAAAACCTTCTAAATAACCTAATTCTTATAAAAATATAAGTAAAGAATGCCTTTTAAATAAAGGGAAGCATTTTAAAACGTATATATTACCATTTATAATATATATAATACTTTAATTAATTTATATAAAATAAATATATAAATAACTTAAAAATAAATAAAATGCTTTTAATAAAAAATTATATAAAAAAGCATTACCTTCTTTTAAAATATATAGGGAACTATTATATATATTATATAAAATACCTATTTTTAAGCTAATACTATTAATTAACTTAAAAAGATAATAGATTACTATTATTAAGCCCTTTAAACTTTCCAGAATAAATTTATTAAATAAAAAGCCAGCTATTAAAAGACCTAAGGAATTATAAATAATTAAACTACTATAATTAAAGGATAAATCGATTAATTTATAAACCGCTCTATTATAAACCTTAACTAAATTAATAAGCTATAAATATATACTTAAATAGCAATTTAAAAAATCCAAAATTAATTAAATAAATAAATTATATTAAATATAAATTAAATTATTAATAAATTAAAAAAGTATAACGTTATAATTAACTTTACTAACTATTCCGCTATAAAGTATTCATTATTAAAAGTAATTTTATAATAGTAAATTAATAATAAAGCGTTATAAGTAACTAAAGCTTAATCAGTTACTTAAGCTTTATAAATATAATACGTAGCAATAAAAATCTTTCCGGGAATTCTTGCCGGAATTACCCCACTACCCAAAGGTAACCTAAGAAAAAACCCTAATAGTTTAAATAATAATAATAATCCCTTCGAAGGACAACCTTCCTACGGTCCACTTAAAGGACCACCTTAAAGGCTACCTTAAAACCTTAATAAAAAACTTAAAGGAAACTTAAAGGATAATAATCCTTTTAACCTTCCTATTAATAAACTAACGTATATATTTTTAGCTATATTTAAAAGTATTGGTCCTATAACTATAATACTTAATCCTATTTAACTTAATAAGCTTTATACCTATAATAAAAAGGATACCTTTAAGTTTTCTTTATAATAAGCTAAAGTTAGGAATTATATATTTATATATATAAAAAGTTTTCCCTTTAATAAGTACTATATTAATTAGATTAGTTTCCTTATAATAAATAAAGCTTTATAATAATATTAATTCTATTAAAAATAAATCTACTATATTAATATTATTAATACTTGGGCAGCTTATTGAATAGCCTTAAAAGTATAGTTTAAAGATTTATTAATAATATATTAAAATATTAATACTTTTATAAAAGTAAAGTACTTTAATAATATTACCTAATTCCTTATTAAAATCCTTAACTATAATAACTTAATAAAATAGTTTAGCTTAACATTTTAAACCTTTATTACTAAACGCTTACTATTTAAACTTATAAAAATAATTTATTATAATTAAAGCTATATTCTAAAGGATAATAATAAGTTTTTTAACGTAATTTAAAAAGTTAACGTTACTTATAAAAATATATTAATATACCCCAGGCTATCTTTAAAAGGTACGCTTAATTTAATAAAGGAGCAATTAAAATTGGGCTATTAAAATTAAAGCAAAGAGAATTGCTTTAATTTAAGCCTAAACTAATTTTTAAAAAAGGATAAAGAAAGGAAACCTATTAATAAAAAGCTAAATAAGCTTAAAGTTAATCTTAAAGATAATTATTAACCTAATATTATAGCTATATTAAAAGGGATTAATTAAATTATTATTAATAAATAAAAGTAGAATAAAATTAACTATTAATAATATAATAAAAGTAATTATTATACCTTTACTTATTATGTTAAAAAGGACATTAACGGAAAGGAACTTCCTTTAACCCCTAAAAAAACCTTTTTTATTAAAAAAAAGCTTAATAATAATATAAAACCATTATTTATAATAAAATAAGCTAAAATTAATATTATTATTATAAAAGTAATTAATCCTATATAATATATAAAAATAGAAAAATTAAACTTAGATTTTTAATTAAGCTTTATAAAGTGTGACAAATGTGTTAAACATATATTATATTGGAATATTATACATATTATAAAAGAATACTATAAAGATATATAAAATATATACCGATAAGGTTATATAACCTATAATAGCTATTAATATATATATATTTTTATATATACTTATATTTTAGTTTTATCTTTCCTTCTTTTTTTTTTAGCTTAAAATTTTTATTTATAGCATTAATATAGCTATACTTTAAACCTTTAATTATAATATTATTCTAAACTCCTCCTTTTTATTAATAAATACTATATAAATATATTACCTATATTTAATTACTATTATTTATAATTTATAAATTAAACCTTTCCCCCCTATTATTATATTTTATATTTAACGATAAACGAATATAACCTTATAATAAACCTAACTAATAAAATTAAACCTTATACCCCTTAAAATTAAAAAAACCCTAATTAAAATAAATAACTTAAAATAATTCTAATAATTATTATTATATATTGTACCTAATATTTCTATAGCTAATAAATAATTAATTTAAAACCCTATTCCTTTTATTAAAGAAAAAGAAACTAATATTAAATTTAAAAATAGCTTTTAAAACTTTTTAAACCCTAAACTAAAAAATATAATGCTTTTACCATTAAACCTTAATTTAAATAAAGGACTAATAGAACTACCCCAACTAGCAGATAAAATAAACGCTGCTAATTAAGCTACCCTAATCCAACAGCTATAAGAATAAATTACTGCCCTTTAAGCCTAAATAGAAAAAGGTAGCCTAACCCTAGCGCTATAAAAAAGTATAGTTAAAAGTACCTTCGGTAAAATTAACTTTAAACTAATTAATATAGCTATATAAGCTATCTTTAAAATAATTAGCCCTATAGGCAACCCTATTAGCCTAAACTTAAAATATGCGGAAAAGGTTAAAACCTATAAAACTAATCCGGGTACTTTCTTTAAAAATAAAGATTTATTTAACAACTAGCTAAAAAAGCTAACTAATAAATTTAAAAAAGATATAATAATATATTATATTAAAAAAAGCTAAATGTATTATATTATATCCCTTTTAAAGAAGGATATTAAAAAAGTAGTTAAAATTTACTTCCGTTCTATTATTTAATTATATAATAATTTAGTTAAAATAGTATAAACGTTAAAAATAGCTTATTATAACTTAAATTAAACCGCCCAAGTATAAAACGCTTTAAATAAGTTTTACTTTAAATTGGATTCTAATATTTATTAATTCATTTTTTAATTTAATAACTTAATATCGAAGTTAAAGTTACTTAAATCTAAATAGTCTTAATTTTTATAAAAATATATTAGCTTTAACTTTAAAACTAAAGTATTTAAAGCTAGTATTAATCCATTAATACTATATAAACGCTTTTATAATAAAGTAATAAAAGTAATATATAACTATAATTATTATTATAATTATTAAAAAAAAAAATAAGCTACTAGCTTTATTAACTATAACTTTAAT